AAATTTTCACAATGATGGCTGTATCAAATTTCCAAAGTCCTCTTATATTTGATAAAAATCCTGTAGCCATTTAATTAAGCAATACAATTGTGTATTTCGATAAGTCCATTAATATAGGTCTTACAGTGTTAGACGTTTCCAAACGGTTGATGTATAATTTTCATTATGATTATATGAAAAAAAATATTAATCCAAGCATTATTGTATCAAAAAGTCAAAATAAACAATAACTGTATAAAGCTATAAACCGTGGAGAAACGGTTTGTATCGTCTTTGATGAGACTACAGCTCTGTGACGTCTAGTAGCAAATCGCAGACCTGTGCTTAGATCTCCACTAGAGTTTAGAAAACAGAAATATCACAGAATTGTGCTTAGATCTTTCGTGTTTTTCGAAGTTCTGAGGACGACTGGGGAGGTCGTTTCTCAGGTTTCTTTTTCTACAAGTAAAACGCAGTTAAATGCAAAACTTGTAATCAACGGTTGTATAAGAAGAATAAAATAACGATTTTCAAGCAGCGAACGTCCCAAACCTATGCCTAGACGTTGTTGTTTTTCACTTCATAAAGCTCAGACCTGTGCTGATCAAGATGAAATCAATAGATAAAATTCGTGAATGTCAAATTGAAAGAGATAGCGTTTAGAGGAGACCTAGAAATCATTTAAAACAGTGACTAATTTTTTATTATTTTTCCTTCCTAATGATTCGATTTTTTTAAAAGTTGTTATAAGCTTTGCGCGCTTATTATCTATTTTTAATTTTTATTCTTTTTTTTCGATCCTTTGAATTGGCTTGGTTCTCTTTCTGCTGCTCGGGTTCTTACATTCTTGGTGGCTGAGGGCTGTTGGATGCTTGATAGTAGGACTCCAGAATGAGCTCCCTAGTTCTTCTTTCAGGGGCGTGCACGACTTTTTAGACCTTGAGAGGTGGCATATTGAATAGATTATCAACAGGAAAGTCTGATGTATCGAAATAATCTATGTTAGCTTTCATATGTTAGTTAAAAATATTGACACTTTAAAGCATAAATAAAACTGTCTGAATCAGTGTAGAGTAGCTGACATTTTTTCAATATAGTCCAAGCATTCTGGAGAAACCACAAACAATAACTGTATAAAGATATAAGCTGTGGATGAAAAGCTTGTATTGTTGTACTTGATTGTATAAACAATCTCCATTTTATGAGCGTTATTATTCAAGATATACTATAGTTTAGAGAAAAAAATTAAATGTCGATAAAAAATTCCTAAAGTAGTAACGAATAGTATTTTGCCTTAACATTTATTTAGTACACTGTTTAGCAATAGATTTCTTACGCAGTTTTGTGAAATTGACTGGATATTATTTTAATCTATAAAAACATATCAAAAATAAGCAGTGCGTACGTTGAAAGCGTTAAAAAGTTTTAAAAAAGCACTATGTTCTGCATTCGTGATATAATACGTACTCTAGATAATCAGAGACAAGAAACGGCAAGGTTTATAAAAATGGATGTGTGATAGGAATGAAATAATTTACTCCAAAGCCCAAATACCCGGATGTTATTGCTAATCTAGATCTAAATGAAACAGGACAGAAAATCCTCAGCAGATAATATGATAGAAAATAAACAAATAGTATAATAAATAAACAATATAATATAATCAATTGCATAATAAATAAATAGGACAAAGCAGAAAATAAAGGGAAAAAAGAAAATAAAGAAAGTAAGTTAAATTCGAGATTTCAAGTTACTTTAACAATTAATAATTTTTTAAGAAGCAACAAAATTAGATAAACTGATAGAACTTAAAAAATCTACAAATGAATATAATGAAAGAAGGATGTCAGGAAATTATCATTCAAAATCCAATAATTAACTAAGTGGATGTAACATTTCTGTTTACAAAAAAATCGAGAAAATGAGTAAAATAAAAAAAGACATTTTAAAAAATAAAAGAAAAATTAAGGTCCTGCAATGGCTCGGTCGGTAAAGCGACAAACTCGCAGCTGGTAGGCCCGGGGTCGATTCCTAGTCCCTGCTGATTGATACAAGCACCACTGAAAAAAGTTTCATGTGTTTTGTTCTCAAACACATTGCAAGCCTCCGTCACTGATTAACACTAACGGAGCATAAACAGAGCGACGTTGAATAAAATAAAAGAAAAAAAAAACAAAAATTGATGCCAAACATTGATGCTAATTACACAGTTCAACAAAATTTTTGAACCTGAGTAAGAAATATCGTTTCTCGTAGATTTTTTGGCACTGAATCCAAATCTGGCCACAAAATTACTCAAGTACGTTAGGTTTTTGAGATATCCTAAACTAAAACTCCAAAAATCAACGTTATAGCCTATATTTAAGGTTATTTAGCATCACCATATTCTTGGTTCACAAAAAACTATAAACGGCATTTTAAAATAAAAGTCTTGCCCTTTCAAATACCGTTGAGTTTGCTCAAATAGCTCATTCTTTCTTTGAGATACTTAATTTTCAAATGTTCCATTTCCATGAATTCTCTTTCTTTTAAAATCTATAGGATTCTTAATATTTCGTTGTTGAACTTTGATAATTATGTTGTCTTTTTAGTTTCAACTCATTTTTCAAGTGTCTTTTAAAACTATACGATTGTTGCGGATGAAAACTAGTAGATGCAAAAACGGTCTAAAAGTATTTTTATTTGTAACTTTCCACGTTTTTGGTACAGTTTTTTTTAATAAGTTCATGAGGATAAGAAAATAATGTAAGCCAAGTTTATGTAACCGAAGCCACCCTTAAGTATCTCATAGGGGGTGAAAAGGTGGTGACAGCGCAATAAAATGGTCTCAAAGTATCTTAATTTTGCACCTTCCACATATTTCGGTACAGTTTTTTTAAATAAGTTCAGTTTATTAGGGTGAAGAAATAATATAAGGTAAGTTACGGCATCCTGAGCCATCCCTAATTAGCGTTTTCACTCCCTTTTTACCCCTATGAGATATTTAGGAAAATTAAAATCTCGTTGACGTGGGCGCGGAAAAATTTTTAATCAGCAATGAAAAATAAATCGGCGGAAAATGGCACGCGTAACGGTCCATGCTGAAGCTCAGCATATACCAGCTGAAAAATTGGTACGAGGGTACGTGCGTAACTTCTTTCTTCTCTCTCTTTATCTTCCTCTCTCTCCGTGTCTTTCTTCTTTCTTCTATCTCTCTCTCTCTCGCTCGTTCTCTCTCTCTCTCTCTCGTCGCTCTTGTCCCACTACTGTCTGCGCGCTCCTTCACCACTTATCCTAGCGTCGTACCGCAACAATAAAAGTCACGCATGAATGTGTGCTCTCAACGCACACGTGGCACGGCGCGCGGACCTTTACGAGAACTCGATGGCAGATCAACAGCCATGCCGCAATTCTCCGTCACAAGTTATAATAAATACAGTTGCATGCAAAATTATCCGGCCAGCGATAATTTTATAATTAACTGAGGTTGAAATAGTATAAAATGATAACTTTCATATACTATTATAAAGTATATTTATTGTGCTGCATTACTACATAGTTAGATAATTAAATATAACAATCAATAATTATTTATGACAAAAAAAATTTTTTTTATACTTCATAAATACGAGGGTCGTTTGAAAAGTCCGTGCAGAAATAAAAACTGCTTGAATTTTTTTAATAAATTTTTTTATTGTTCATCATAGTCTCCTTTTAGGCTTATACACTTCGTTCAACGCTGCTCTAGTTTGTTAATCTCTTCCAAATAATAGGATTTGTCCAAGTCTGTAAAATAGGCATTCGTTTCTGCAATCACCTCCTCGTTTGAATAAAATCTTTTCCCTGCCAGCCATTTTTTCATATTAGGGAACAAATAGTAGTCCGACGGAGCCAAGTCTGGAGAATAGGGGGGATGCGAAACGAGTTGGAACCCTATCTCCATCAGTTTTGCGGCCACAACTGCTGAGGCGTGAGTTGGCGCATTGTCGTGGTGGAAGAGGACTTTTTTGTGGGCCAATCGTGGACCTTTCTCTAGCAACTGGGTTTTCAAACGATTCAATAACGAAGAATAATATTCGCCTGGAATGGTTTTACCCTTTTCCAGATAGTCGATGAAGATTATTCCTTGCGAATCCCAAAAGACATTCGCCATAACCTTCCCGGCCGATGGAATTGTCTTCGCCTTTTTCGGAGCAGATTCCCCCTTGGTAACCCATTGTTTAGAATATTCTTTGGTTTCAGGAGTGTAGTGATATATCTATGTTTCATATCCAGTGATGGAACGACGCTTAAAGTCTTGCGGATTTTGCTGGAACAGCTGCAAACCATTCTTGCAACACTTCACACGATCTCGTTTTTGGTCAATCGTGAGCAATCGCGGCAGCCATCTAGCGGATAGCTTTTTCATGTCCAAATTTTGGTGCAAAATATTATGTACCCGTTCGCTCGAGATGTCTACAGTACTAGCAGTCTCACGCACCTTCACTCTTCTGTTAACCATCACCATATCATGGATTTTATCAATGATTTCTGAAGTGGTAACCTCAACAGGGCGTCCAGAACGTTCAGCGTCTTTTGTGTTTATATGGCCACTCCGAAAATTTGGAAACCACTTATAAACCATTCTAATCGAAGGTGCACAATTACCATAATATTTATCAAGCTTCTGTTTAATCTCCTGAGGCGTTTTGCCTTTGAAAAAGTAATGTTTAACCAATACACGAAATTCTTTTTCGTCCATTTTTTTACAACCACTCGATTTCTTTGATTGAAACGAATGTAAAACGCAAAGTAATTGGCCGATTTGGCTGAAACTTGGTGTGTGCTCTTCGAAGATATGCCACTAACTGAAAATAACCTTGATACGCACTAGTAGCGCCATCTCTCTGACTTTGCACGGACTGTTCAAACGACCCTCGTAGTCGGCCAAAATTTATAATAGTATTTACTAATCGGGAAATAATGTGTTTCACTCTGTGTGATATATAAACATTGAGTACACTATTTATTCTGTATTATCCAATCAGTTATCATTCGCCAAGATGCCGAAACGGACGTCATTTGACAAACGTGAATTGGTTTTGAAACTACACAATGAAGGTAAAACTTCACGTGAAATATCGGCAACTTGAGCTATAGGAAAATCAATAGTTAATGATATACTCAAAAAACTTGAGACTACTGGTGTTGTAGAAGCTAAACGCAATCCTGGGCGATCTACGAAAACGATTCAGTGTATTGATAAAATGATTAAAAAAAAGGCTGCCTCAGATGTGAAGAAAAATACTGCTATTATTGCACGTGAATTACATGAAGAAAATGTAGCTGACGTTAGTCAAATTACCGCTTCTCAAAAACTAAACGAAGTAGAATTTTTTGGACGTATTGGTGTTAAATTAATCATTGATCAGTAAAAAAAATAAAAAGAACAGACTTGAATTTGCTACAGAACATCAGAGCTGGACTGTTGAAGACTAGAAAAAAGTGCTGTTTTCGGATGGAACTAAAATCAATTTATTTGGAAACGATAGGAGAAGATATGTTCGATAACCTAAAGGTACCAAAAATGATCCACGATATCAAACACCAACTATGAAACACGGTAATGGAAATATCATGCTATGGGGAGTTTTCTCTTAGAAAGGCGTTGATCCAATTTTCAAAATTGACGGCATTATGGACTCTACCAAGTATAGAGACATTATATTAGAAGTAATGCTGCCTTATGCACGTAAAAATATGCCAAGACCATGGATCTTTCAGCAGGATAATTATCCAAAACATCGATCGCAGCTCGTTCAACAAGTTTTTATTCAGAAAAAAATCCAAGTTTTAGAGTGGTCAAGTCAATATCCGGATTTACATCCTGTAGAACACTTATGGCAAGAATTAAAATTAAAAAGAAGGACTGAAACTTGTGCAAATAAAGCTGATTTCTGGGAAAAAGTTCAAGAAGAGTAGCAAAATATCTCTCAAGAACAAATTAAAAAATTGATTGAATCGATGCCTCACCGATGTGCTGCCGTAATAGCTGTTCGTTAGCACATTTGCTGACCTCTTCAGGCTGTATTAACATAAAAACAACAAATTATTAACAATAAAGTTACAAATGTAGTTTTAATAGCATGTAATTATATGTACATGTGTGTATCTGATTTTTCTCGTAGTCAAATTATTATAGGCTAAAACGAATAGCTCGTAGCCAGTCACGTTACAATACGCTAACAAGGGAACCCCCCCCCCCCCAACCTGACCTCACCGATTTAAATGATTTTGGAATATGTTGTAGTACTTGAAAAAAAATTAAATACTTGTTTTTTTTATCGGCCTGTTAAGTGACAACTTTTAAATTCAATTTTTTATATGTATTAGTATTATGTATAATTACGCCGCGCGTATTAGTCTTTGTTTTGTTCGTGCGCAAAAATGGCAAAATTCGAGCCGAACAGGAGACATTTGCGGGAAGTGTTGCTTTTTGCATTTCATTCGGGAAAAAACGCAGCTGAGGCGCGTCGAATGATTGTAGAAACTTATGGTAACAGCTGTATTAGTGAAAGAACGTGTCGGGAATGGTTCCAAAAGTTTAGAAATGGCGAGTATGACGTAGATGACAAGGATCGTCCCGGACCCGTAAAAAAGTTCGAGGATGCGAAATTGGAGGCTTTGCTGGATGAAGATTCTTGCAGAACACAACAGGAACTTGCGGATTTATTGGGCGTAACTCAGCAAGCCGTTTCCCATCGCTTGAAATGCTTAGGAATGATCCAGAAAGTGGGATGTTGGATGCCGTACGAGCTGAAGCCGAGGTACATCGAACGGCGTCTTGTCACGTGCGAACAACTCCTCCAACGGCAAAAAAGGAAAGGTTTTTTGCATCGCATTGTGACCGGCGATGAAAAGTGGATACACTATGAGAATCCAAAGCGGAGAAAATCGTGGCGTCTTCCCGGCCATGCATCAACTTCGACAGCGAAACCAAACATTCATGGCTTGAAGCTGATGCTGTGTATTTGGTGGGACCAGCTTGGCGTAATTTACTATGAACTCCTGCAACCACGCGAAACCATCACAGGAGCCCTCTATCGGACGCAATTGATTCGTTTGAGTCGAGCGTTAAAGGAAAAACGCCCAAAGTCCGCGGAAAGGCACGACAAGGTCATATTTCTGCATGACAACGCTCGGCCACATGTTTCCAAGGTCGTGAAAACATACCTGGAAACTTTGAAATGGGACATCCTACCGCACCCGCCGTACTCTCCTGACATCGCCACTTCTGATTTCTACTTGTTCCGATTGATGACGCATGACCTGGCCGAACAGAACTTTCGTTCTTACGAAGAAACCAAAAATTGGATCGATTCGTGGATCGCATCAAAAGACGAACAGTTTTTTCGAAGAGGAATTCAGAACCTGCCAGAAAGATGGGAAAAAGTTGTGACTAAGGATGGAAATTATTTTGAAGAATGAGATTGTAACGAGTTTTTTACAATAAAACCTCAAATTATTAGAAAAAACGGCGATTTTCTATTTGTACTCCCAATATAATAATACGTTTATTGTTCCTAATACTTTCGTCACGCGTATACTTTAATCACTGATGAAAAGAATATATATATACTGGTTTTAGGAAATAATAATAATAGAAACTGGTTGACAAGAAACTGAGATAAAAACTGTGAAAAAAAAGCGAATAAAAATTGTACGTAATTCTGAAGAGGATTTGAACTGTAACACGACTGGACGTGATTAACTCTGGCTCGAGACTGATTCGTTAGGCGTGGGCGATACAGTAATGCGGCGCGAGAGTGTTACTACGCCGTCATTGCATTACTACGCGACCGCCGAACCGCCCACGCGCGCTGAATGCGTATGACTAATACGCGCGGCGCAATTATACATAATACTAATACATATAAAAAATTGAATTTAAAAGTTGTCACTTAACATCCTCCCCCCCTTAAAATAATTACCGTCCTCGGGAATTATATGTCCAGTGTGAATGAATAAACATGAATGATTAAGGATGGTAAGAACGGGTAATATATATGTATTATTAAAATGGTTACTATACACACATTTTTTTTTTTTTTGGAAAAACACAAGGATTGAAAATTAAAGTTAAAAGTTGGTAGTGTTTATGGGCATTGCTGCCAGCTTGTCCAAGATGTTTTCCAGCATGGTGATAAATACAAGGTTTTGGCCCACAGATTCTTCGGACTGCTCTGGTTCCATCCAGTCCTTATATTAACATTGACGTAGATGGAGGTAGAAGCTTCGTTTTTCGAAGGATTTGTTGCATAGCCAATGTTTCATCCAGTCTTTACCTATTTACATGTTACATAGGTTTTTATGGACTTCGATATCCTTCTTCATGACAATGCTTTTGCATTGTGCATGCAAAATGTGCTGGTTCTTGTTATGCAGGAACAGGGGGACAATCCTTTCTAGCTCGTTCAACTTGGCTCCATATACCCTATGGTATAGTCGTATAGCCTCAGCAGCAGAACCCTTGGTCACAAATCGCACATTGCAGGTCAAATGGAAATGCGAACCATATGTCGTGATAGGCGTAAAATACATATAGTCCAGAGTTCCACAGATTGCCAAGTCCTTAAATACCTGTTCCCGCGAACAGTACATCGTGATTCGGAGGAATACTCGATGCCCGAATTCCTGTTCCCTGATCACAACTCTGGGAGAATTGGGATTTAAGGACTGGATGCTATCATTCAGGTAGTTGTTTAAGGCCGAATGGTAGTCTGCATGGGCGCAGTAGCGAATACGGAGGGATTTGTTTCCATCCAGTCGAGACCCAAATTGATGAAGTTGTTCGATAGGACCATAGATTAGGAGGTTTTGGACTACATCAGATTCCACGGTAGTCAAAGGGAAAGTAACCACCAAGGTGTTTTCTTCTTGGTGGTAGGGTGCTACTGTGACCCCTCTTGTTAAGGCGTTCATCCTGTTGGGTGCTGACATGACTATGTCCTGTAAAATTATGTCCATGTAGAAAAAAATAATAGTAGGATATAGATATACAAGAGAGAGACATTAATGAGGATTTTAAAGAGAGTATATGAATGAATGGAGTTATGCGTGATAAAGACAGTCCGTGAAGTCCAATTATATAATTATTGTCCTTCTACCCGTTTTATATACTAAAATTTAAGGTAAAATAATACAGGTTTTGATAAATAAAAATGTTCGTAACATCACGAAACTATATAAAATTGTATATATAAAATAGTTCATGAAAGAGAGGAGTTCAAAAAAAAAATATTTTCTTATGACGCAGCTGTATCTTCTAAGTATTTCTCATCTTCTGAGTTGACCTCAGTCTCGATTTCTCCATCAGTCATTTCCAAATCTTGTTCGATGACCGTTCTTTCTGGACAGTCAGATTCTGAATTTGGTTTCTTCCTGTATATTTCAGCAACGTCCATTCCATGTCCTGTTCGTGATTCGGTCGATGTATCAGAGGAGCCGGCGGCACCGGTGTTTGTTATTTGTACCAATATATTTGACATGTATGCCTTTCTGACAGTCGTTCGAGTTAGTTCGATGTACGTCGTTTTTTGCTAACTTTACGTTGTTTGTTGTTAGATGCAGAATTATTTTTGTTTAACCACAATGTCCTCTGGTATTGCCACTTGCAAGTATAGAAATATTCATCTTCTAGCTTTGCATCGACATAATCGTCACATATCCAGCATAATACGGTTCGCTTCGCCTCTAGTTCACGGTCTTTAGCATATTGTGTACCATACTCAGGGTTACTGAATTGTAAAGCTCTAGTTGCATCTTTCTCATCACAGTATTGTATATACCCCAATGAAAGTCATCCACTATTGTCTCTTACTACTCTATGATATAATAGTCGTCCAAATTCGACAAAATGTTCGAAAAATTCGACCTCCCTATTTTGTTCCGGGACTGCCCAAGGTAGTCTACAAAATAATCTTTTCTTATTAATGGGTGTCTTTGGTTTTATTATCACACTCTTGTATATTCGAGATCTCAAATCGGCTGAATATACGGCTTCTTTTCGGGAAGTTCCGGTAATACCTTGCGCCAGCTTTCTAGCCTTTTCAGCCTGTTTGGTGTCTTGGTATCGGCACAGAGCCAATTTTGTATCCGGTCCTGATGTACTTTCTATGGAATGGAATTCTATAATCGTCCCTACAGATTCCAATTTTACGAGTAAGTCACTAAGTTTTATGTCGGCCGAGTACAAGAATCTAATGCCTCTTGGATCTTCAATATTCGAAGCAAGCTGATTATTCATTATGTCCAAGAAGAATGTTAGGGCTGAAAAAGAAAATACGAATCCGTCCATCATGTTTCCATACATGAGATAAAGTCCGGTACTAACGGTCCCAGTTGTGTTAGTCAGTAGTTTAGATTGTTACAGGGCTTTGTTTCGGAAGCCCCGATTTTGTCTCTCGATTGGGTAAGGAGATGGGAAGTTCGGGGTCGGGTAACATATTAGTAAGGTCGTGTCGAGTGACGCTAGTTGTTTCTGGTGTATTGGTGAAGGTAATTATAGTAGCAGGGTTCTATTTTATGTCCAATTCATTATTTTTCTTAGTATTGTTAGTACACGTTACCCATTTCTTTGTTTTGCAACATTTATAAGCTAGCAAGAGTGTAGCAGCTAAGAATATAATTCCATTCACTCCCAACCCTCCGTAAATTAGATTCGAATGATAAGACGTTACACGTTTATGTTCGCCCACTAGTAGATAAGCAATGTATGTTCTGGGACACAAAGGAGCCGACAAAGGATGCCGCCAATGTATAAGGATACGTGTATGTTCTGGGACACAAAGGAGCCGCCCGATGAAGGTGTGAAGGTAGTGACACCTTTTAATTAATGGTCAGACCCCATGGTGAGTGCCTAAAAGGGATTTGATGTACCTTTGACACCTTCCGCGTGCCAGTGGGCCCCATGCTGAGTGTTA